CCCCAGCCAGCATGTTGGCTGGGGAATTCTGGGAGTTGAAGTCCACACATCTTAAAGTGGCCAAGGTGAAGAAACACTGACTTAGGGCGACTCTAACTATGGAGCTGTCCCACTGCTGAAATTTATAGTAAAGCTGTTGTGCCAGAGCTCCTTCTTCTTTGAGTAGTTTTCCAAAGTTTTGCCATTCCTGTATTATACTTTGTCTAATGTTTCTAATCGTTGCTCTGAAAGTGCTTTTAATGTCACATTTGCTCAGCATTTCAAGCAGCTGGTGCACGAGTTACAAGCAAAAGGAGTGGGGAAGGTGAACAAAGCTCTGATTGAATCCTTCAAAATCCTGAGGGAGGTAAGACCATTTTATATTCCTTTTTTTTTAAAAGGGCACATTGGCTTCTGTGTCCTGCAGCATTGTACTGATTATTGCAATTCATTGGAGGAAAAGGAAAGAAAGATAATAGTGACAGATACCCTTTGTGACATTGCCCAAAGCTGCTGATGAACATGTTGTTTCAAACTGCAACCAGGAGGGTGATGTTGACATGTTGGACATTGTTATTTTAGGAACTTTGATTTACTTGTTCATGTTTATTATGTGTTTGAGTCAGGATAGCAATGAAATGGTACTGTCACTGTGACAAAAAATAGATTTTAGGTGTGATTTCTGGAGTAAAAACAACCCATGTTGCAAAGCTCCCATGAAACTAGGTGACCCGAATAGATCAGGTCCTGACTAACCTGGAACTCTTTTTCTTCAGTAGTGAGTCCACTGAGTTGGGGTTTGCATTTAATCATAACTATATCTTTCTAATTTAATATTTGTTCAAGAGGATAAAATAATTGGTTGGGCCTGCTTTCCTAGTAACAGGAGAGGTGGAAAGGATTAGAAGGAAGGACTTAGAGAAGATGAGAGCGAGAGATTTGGAATGCTAAGGCCTAAGAAAGTATAATTAAGCCTAGTATATTCCCTGGGTCAGGTTCATTAACACAGTTTAAAACCTGTAGCCAGCATATAATATTCCACCCACACCCTCAAATGATGTGGAACAAAGAGTGTTTCGGCAAGGAATAGATAAGCTAGGAGGCACTACATTTAATTAGCACCAGTTCGCCAGAGTTACCTTACTTGAAGGCTATGAGGATGAATATCAATGTTATACTTGTAATGATAGTGATACCAGCAACCTTAAGTCTACCCAGAAACATTTGGATTAGGCAAAAGTCCTGGTTTTTTGTTTTTGTTTTTGTTTTGTTGGAAAGTCTAAGTAACATTCTGATCTTCTGGATCACAATTTAATTCAAGTTGGGTTTATTGGGTCTCAGTGCCTGGATCTTTTTTTCCTTTTCAGAGCTAGTACTTGTCTCCTATGAATCATTATGAAACATGTCACTGGCATGTACAAAGTTTCTTCCTTCCACCATAAATAATCATAGAACTATCTAGCACAGAAAGTAGGGAGACCTTTAATAACACCTTCTGAATCTTGACATTGTTATCAACATTATGTTTGAGCGCACCTGTCAGTGTGATAGATAGGAGTTTTGCTGAGGCTTAATTAAGGACTTAATTAATCTGCTGGAATCTATATTTGTGCCAGTGAGAGAAACGTTGATCTCTATACATAATTTCATTGTGGTTCATTATGTTTGTAGTTCAGAGATGCAGGACAAGGAGGTCTTTGTAACCAGGCAATTATGCTGCTCACCGATGGAGCTATGGAAGATTATGAATATGTCTTTGAAAAATTCAACTGGCCTGATCGTAAGGTTAGCTTCCAAAGTGAAAAGCAGAGAACAGCATAGAAAATCAACTGGTCTGGTATGAATCATGAGCAAGGAACAAAGCACTGATCAGCATGGAGACTCTTAGGCTCCTAGCTAAAATTTTGCTTGAGATAATAGTGGATGGGTCTTGCTAATTAATGAGCTTGGTTTGATAATGATCCTAGAAGATTTTAGAACTACTGTATATCACTAGATTTATTTTTTATGTAGCAGAAGAACAAAAACATTCACCCTTAAATATTTAAGTGTGTTTTAGACAAATACAGTGGAATGGAGGGTTCACGTGTTATTTTAAATAACCGGTTAACAATGGTTTGTTGGATCAACCACAGGTAACTGAATTAACAAACATGCTAAGTCAAAACTCATGACAAATCACAGTAACAATCTCTGTAAAATAATGAAAGCTCTTAATTTGAAACTGCTGTTTAAAAAGGTTGTGGCAAATTGTATTTGACTCTTTCCTTTGGTTCACTTGTATTATTTTCCACAAACTCAAGTAAAACATCATAAAGTAAAGACCTCTTCAAGTTACGCTACATTCTTAGTGACTACGTGGACATATCCATGTAGTTTTCTTGGCAACACAGAAGTCATTTGCCACTGTTTCTTTTCAGGATTTTTTTTTTAAATACCTATTAGCCTATCACCCTGAGATTTCCTTCCCATCTCCCATCCAGGTACTAACTAGGTCAACTGTAACTTAGCTATTCTATGAATTCAGACTAAATTATTACCACATGCCTTTATACCTGTACTTACATAAGGGCCATCTTACTTTTGGGGGCTCTTCAGCTCAGAGACATTCAAGGCAACATGACAGGACCTGAGAATTCCAGATGGGAGCCAGAATAAGATAAATAATGAATCTTGTCCAGGATTCTCTCAAATGGGAGATTAATAAGGTAGAGTACTGGTTGTTTTTAATATTACATTCTAATTCTTGCAATTGCATTTCACAGGTCCGTGTTTTTACATACCTTATTGGGAGGGAAGTCAGCTTTGCACAGAACGTGAAATGGATAGCTTGTAACAACAAAGGTAAAAATAGTCCATTTTAATCATCCTTTCTGCAGAGCATAAGCACATGTCAGTCAAATATTCTTATATTATAGCAGTGGTGACATGCAAACCTAATTTGAATTGGAAAAGTTCCAGAAACAAGCAGCAGAAAATAGTAATGCCTACTCCTGTACAAACCATATGCCACAGATTTTGGAGAATGCATAATTAGGAAACTGAACCAGGAGCATTTTGTGGTTGTAAGATGATATAAAAGAAGCAAAAATTAGCAGTAACAATTTTAATTGGGTCTTTCCTAAATTTCCAAATAGGGTATATAGGAACTGAGAAATAACATACAGTATGGGATATTGGGATGGAGGTAAATAGAAACATGTAAAGTATGTTTAGAAAATTTCAGATGGTTGGGTAGTGGTGATGGTTTTGGTGTTTTCGGTTTGGGGTTTATTTGTTTTGTTTTGCTTTGTTTTTTGCAAATGAAGGATAAATCTTTAATTTTCCCCTAAAAATTAGTCAATGGCCAATGGGCATTCTCAGGGTGATTTAGGAAAGTGTTAAAAAACACTGATACTGCAAAACAAACAGATGTAACTATTGGGATATTATCACGAAATACCTGTCTGTAAAGTCTCATGAATACTATACTGTATTTCTCTAGCTGAGAGACAAAGAGTTTGGCTTCTCTAGATCTTTTTTGATTATAAACTAATGAAACGTAATTGTCCTTCAATCCATTGAAAGCAATGATTCTTACATGTACAGTCAAAATGTTAATTCCATTGATTTCAGTTAGGTACTCCTAACTTTGTTTCACATCCCATTCCCATTACCTTTTAAATGTAGCATTGCCATTATTTCTTTACTAATCAATTTCTTATAGAAAGCAGCCCTTTTTAGTATGTCCAGTGTCAAAGAGCCTCTTAGTTCTCTACCCAGGTTGAAGCCTTGCATACAGTATGTTAGGCAAGTATATGATGAAAACTGAGTAGCACCAAAACCTTGGAGCTTCATCCTAATGGATTTCTACGTGAACTGAAACTATAGCCTTCTAGAATCTATTGAGAAATCTAGAACATTTATGAAATGTCCAAAAACTAGATTTCAGTAGATACGTATACAGATTATTTTCCCATATTGTTATATTGTGAAGCCTGGGGCAACTGGTGAGGATCCACCACACTTTGGAATAAATGAGATGCAAACCTCAACCTAAACAAAATTAACTGATTTTTCATGTCAGGCTACTACACACAGATATCTACTTTGGCTGATGTGCAAGAGAATGTCATGGAATATTTGCACGTGCTTAGTCGGCCAATGGTTATCAACCATGATCATGACATCATATGGACTGAAGCCTATATGGATAGTGCTGTAAGTATTTCATGAAAAGTTTCTAGTTGTCCAACTTTCAAGGTGGTGAGGGATAAGGGTCTTTTCAGAGTATTTGCTGCAATATGCATATCATCCGGAAGTGGATCACAGCAGCTGGATAGTGTCGAAATGTGCCTTTCAAAAGAGATATCATTTATCACACTTTCCTTATGTGCAATGTTGTATTTGAAGTTCCACCACAGTCCAGGAACTCAAAACACATCACAGAGGCATAGCGTGACTTAATTAGAATCTCTGTCTCTGTAAAGTCTGCAGAGGCACTTTATTAAGGATTAGTCACAAGGAAAAAAAATAATAGTTTGAGCTCAAGAAATGGGTCACTGAGCCTGCAGCAGCAGCAGCAGCAGCAGCAGCAGCAGCAGCAGCAGCAGCAGCAGCAGCAGCA